ATTTTGTGCCATGTACAAAATCTATCACAGGTGAAGAAACAGCTAAGCTTTTCATTGATAATATCTATTGCTATCATGGATTACCTAAAGATATCATATCGGATAGGGGAACTCAATTTGTGTCAAGATTTTGGAGGGCCCTTTTCAAGATTTTAAAAGTGGACATAAAGCTATCTTCGACTTTCCATCCTCAAACTGATGGACAAACAGAGCGCGTAAACTAAGTCTTGGAGCAATATTTAAGGTGTACTATCAACTATCAACAAGATGATTGGATAACCCTTCTGCCATTGGCAGAGTTTGCTTATAATAATATGGTACATTCTTCCACGCAACAAACACCTTTTTTTGCCAATTATGGCTATCATCCACGACTTGATACTTTTGATTTTTCAAAAGTTGATAATCCTGCAGCACAAGATATGGCAAATCGATTGTCAGAGTTACATGCAATAATGAAGACGCAATTGAAGGAAGCTCAAGAACGACAAAAGATAAACGCAGATCTATATCGTAAGGAGGAACCACAAATCAACGTGGGTGATAAGGTATGGCTACTTTGTCGCAATATCAAGACTATTCGATGTTGTGACAAGTTGGACTATCGTAGGCTTGGCCCCTTTTTTGTTTCTGAACAGATCAACCCAGTTGCATATCGGTTACATCTACCGGAGTCAATGAAGATCCATCCTGTATTCCACGTGTCTCTTCTTGAACCATATAAGACAGTGGATATACAAGGAAGAAGACAAATGCCACCGCCTCCTATAGAAGTAGATAATAATGAAGAATTTGAGGTGGAAGAGATATTAGACTCGAGGCGGCGCCGAAATAAGCTGGAATATCTTGTTCATTGGCGCGGATATGATATTAGTGAATGCACATGGGAGCCATCCAGGAATCTAACAAATGCATCAGCTAAAGTCAAAGTTTTTCATCAACGACATCCATCAAAATCAAGATGAAAATCTCTCTTATAAAAGAGACAAGATTGAGGCAAGATAACATTCAATTTCCTATCCTTGTTTGTAACTTCTTTGCATTTGTGACGCTAATTAGATGGAGAGCCAACAACCAGTGGATTCAACTCAAGAACCTTTGTTTGCTGACTTACCGGATGAGACATTGCGATTGTCACAACCTTCAAGACGACGCAATCGAGATGAAGACCCTCAAGAATGACATGTTCTTCCTCGAATAGATGGTGAGATACAACGCGTTTGGTATCACGACCTTGGAAGAATTTCTCGATGTTTGGTGATATTACTGGAGATAAGAACGACTGCTGATGGTGTTTCAAATGTATTATTTGAAGGAAGTTATGAAGGCCTCAATAATGATCAAATAACATGGTGGTCTTCTCGCCCTGGAATGGGACACTATCGATGGCTAAGAGGACCCATCAACTATCTTCGAAGAGAACAAAGATCAGAGTATGTAGCAAATATAATTCGACGCATATTAGACTTTCCCAACATATAATCACCGCTCTTCGTGGAACTCGTCTCTAGAAGAGGGGGTAATGTCACGGATATACATATAATTACCTACAAGAGTCGATAAAAGTATGTTAAAGTAGATAAAAGTAGGTTAATTGTGCAATATCTTCTAGAGAAGCTTCCTAGGAGCTTCATAGATGCTGCTTTGACCTTATAGGAGTCCATAGTTGACTTTTAGGTTAGAAACTTGGTCAACAAGTTAGCCATGTGCCACACATGTTGGTAGCTTGAAGGAGAAGCTAACTACGTAGTCCACTCATAGAAAACTTGCCTTGCAAGCAAAGACATGTGGCCTAGAAAGTCAACACATATTAGAGGTCTTATAGAATATCGCCACGTGGCTTCTAGTTAGATAGTATATATAGAGGCAAGAGTGAAGCTCTCTTCACTCTTGTCAACTCCTTTCTTGCTTCTAGTCTAGTTTCAAGGGTCTCTAGTTTTCTTGTCTTTTGGCAATAGCCATTCCAGTTTCTCTTTCAATATATATATTTGTTTATTTACCTCTCTTTGAGTGAAGGCTCACTTGTCTGAATTGTTTTTCATCGAGTTCTTGTCCTTGACAATTAATAATCATAAGAAATTTTAATAATTTAAAAAAAATTGAATTCAATTAATGAAACATAAATAGAATTACATCATAATTTTTTATATTTTAGTATAAAGTTTAAAAAATTATACATGCTTATTTTTATTAAGTTTTTATTTTAATATTTAAAAGACTTAAAAAATAAAAAAATGTATAAATATGTTACATTGAATATGTAATATTTTTATAGCTATTGTAATTAAATATTTAAAGACCATTGTTTAAAAAAGAAATAACAAAGAGATGAATGAATAAATATGTATATACATACACATATAGTCTTAAGTTATTGAAAAAATTAAAAACGAGAAATAGAAGGAAAGGAAAAAAAGACAATTTTAATTTTTTAAGATAATGTTTGTGTCTTTTTAAATTGATAACTTTTAAATTGTAGAAAATCAATCAAATGTTTTGAAATTTATTAGTAAAAAAAACTATTAGTTACAATTATACTTATTTTTAAACTTTACCTTAGAAAATTTCTGAATATGAGGTAGTCATACATAATTCACCAACATTTATTATATTAAAAATAAATAAATCTTCTACTGCTTTTATTAAACTATTTTAAAAACTAAGAATACTAATGTATAATTTATTTTGATAAATATGATATTATAACATATGTATCTATTTTTTATAATTAGATGGTTAAAACTTCAATAAGCACATTTATGTTGTAAAATTCTTAAACATGGTTATTTTTTAACAAATAGAAGTTTATTCTATCTAAAGTTTTCATTCATAATTATTTGAAATAAATTTTTTTAGTATAAAACAAACATACGTATTTTTACACATAAACTTATAGCAAATCAACTTAACTAATTAAAACAAAATAAAAATAAAAAACAAGATTCTTCTTGTAGTATCATTACAATCAATTCTAACAATGCTAAGAATGCAGTATGAATAAGACGAGTGGCAACGAGATTGAATTCTAACATAGATGGAGTCTCTCTCTCATTGAGCTTGTGAAGGCACTTCATTTCAGATTTATCAATTTCTTCTCCTTAACAAAGCTTCATACCACTAAGAACAACAACCACATACATCAATTTTTTTTTGATATGGGTGACTACGAAGTAGTCACAGCCTGTTCTCAAGAGCCTCATTTGAATAGACTCAGCTGTTTACTGTTCCAGAGTTCCTGTATATATATATATATATATATATTTATTGCCACGAACTGGGCTCCTACATCTGGAGGTTTACATTCACATGGCTCTAGCTCAATCAACAATGTGTGTTTTTCCAGTGTTTGCATCTGCAGAGGTTCCTTGCAAAAAAGAAACGAAGCAAGGGAGAGATTAATATGAAGAATGAGGTTCACTCATGGTGCCTGGAGTTGCTACTCTCAATTGTGGAGGCCCCTTCATGCTGCACCTCATCTTTGAGCTAAAAAAAACAGCATGACTTTCTCCGAAATCTGGTTCTAGTTTGTATGCTCAAGCTCACCTGGTTCTTGTTTGTTAGCCGAGAGTGTATTAAGAGTCTCTCTGGTGAGCTGCACTTTCCTTCTCACTTTTATCGTGTCGTGGTTTCATTTCATGGGCAAATTGTCAACAGTGAGTAAAGAAGAAGAACAATAATACGTTAGAGGCACAATGACTTGGCTGCATGAGAGGGAAGTGTTCGGCGGTGGCATGGATGGGTGAGTCTGAAGAGTTCGTAACACTACGGTTCTGAGTCTTTCCGTTGTGTCGCTGGATCCACAACTTTCTTTGTGTGGTGACGGTTGTTGAGTAGGATCACAAGTGCACACTAATAATACAACGGAAAACGAAAAAAACAAAAAAAAACAAAAGAACAAAAACAAAAAATAAAGTGATGAATAACAAGTTTCAGAGAAGAAAAAATCTTGGTTTTGAAATGTGATAGTATCACATATTGATCTGACGAAATTAGGTCTAGATGGGTTTGAAAGGAATAATTTGCAAGTTCTGATTAGGCTTTTAATTCACAGTTTTTCTCTGCTCAAATGACTGATATACTTGTAAGATTCGAAAGTTCAAAGAGGGTTGAAGGAAAATCAATTTCGGTGGCTAATCGCGATCATAACCAGGGTTATTCTTTCACTTCTATTTCAGAAATCTGTTAAAATTCTTTCTTTACTAGTTCTTATCTTCTTTACATGCAGTGTTTCGATAATAGATTTGAACATTTTATTTTGTACACAAGTCCATATATAGAAAATCCTAAGGTACTTGATTGAAATCCAATTACATACAGGAACCATTAGAGCTTCAAACAAGAAGCTACTTGATTGAAATCCGTCTAATTGTATGAAGCTTTAGGCATGGAGCTGTTGCCCAGATGACATCTGACATTTTGTTTCCATGCACAGGATAATCTGCTCACACCAAAATATTCAAGTGCTTTGGTTTGACAAATTCGATTATTGCACCCAGATGCTTTGTTGAAGGGTAGAAGTCTTCAACGACAACCCCCCCCCCCCAAAAGAAATAACTAATTTAATTTAAAAAACAAAAACAAAAAAAACAAAAACAAAAACAAAGAGAGAGACAGAGAAAAGGAGAGAATGCGGGAGGGGGAGGGAGGAAGAGGAAGCATTGAAACTGAAATTCACATCACTTCATGTGACATGCTTTCAAAAACTCGTGTGCACAAATTCTTCTTAGGCTCGTAAGTTAGGAGGCATAAACCCAAACTTGATTAATTTAAAGTTTGATTTTTCTAGCTTCTGATCTCATTTGATAAGCTAGCAAAATTTTCTATGAAGTTCACATCAATCTCATATAGACATTCCTCGTGTGCCATGAATTCAACTCATCAGTCTCGTTGATACCGTTTAAGGATCCGGCAAACTTGTTCTGAATGACAACATTCAAGCTCCACCCCTAGAATTCTTGGACCCACTTTAGCATTATTGTACGAAAATAACATTGTCGTCAATTGGTAACAGCTGGAAGCCTTATATTTTAAATTAATAAACATTGTCGTCAATTAGTAGCTCAGGAAATGAGGTTTCCAGATGCTGGATGCCCATGTTTACTAATTTAAAATTGTGCGCGTGTGGAGCAGACACAAATAATTGTATCCAGCATTCAGACTCCCAATCTGCACTTGTCCAAAAAAGGGAAAAGTCCTCCAAGGAAAAGATAGAAACATACTGCTAGTCTGTTAAATACGACATCAGCTGATCACATTTGTCATCTCCTCCACGACATACAAGTCCACTTTTCACAGTAATTGTTTTCATCCAATTACAAACTCCCTCCCATTCCACTCATTAAAGCTCACAAATCTCTGTCATCAATCAACTGCAGGGATTCTGTCACGAAAGCCAGCCTTGTACCGAAATAACCCAGTTGACGTTTACGGGCTAACGTCAGTATTGAACCCAATCTGCACGTTCCCCTTGTGCTCTGGCACTGGAGTTTCTTCCATGGAACCTCTTTGAGGAACAAATTTTTCTTCATACTGTAAACACTCCATCTTCGCTCTTTGAAAACAACAGAAAAGGGGGAGAGAAAGAGAAAGAAAAGAAAGGAAGGGGGAAAGAAAGAGGGGAAGAAGAAGAAGACGAAGAATACAAAGGAAATAGACTGAATTTTCTGCAGCGACTACAAAGCGTTAGCATCGACGTCAAACTCAAACAGGGGGAAGCACTGCAACACCCGTCCCATCCAGGCGTCCCAGCCAAAGTCAGGACCTATCACAGCTTGATTGAATTCCACAATCAACCAATTGACCCAAAGGGCCAGTCTTCCAGTGCTGGTGCAACATTGTCCTCACCGAACGGCGACCGAAGTCTGAAGAAGCACGGAGCGTGATGAAAGGGCGTCGCTGTTCTACCCTCTCCCCTCCGGATTTGCATACCACGGCTCGCTGATCTCGCCCCCTCACAGCCCCCGCGTCGTGCTCAAGGTGGGCACCCAGTACCAGCCCCCTACCTGCAGAGCAGAGTGAGTGAGTGATTGGATAAACGACTGGCCGAGATAGAAAATGATACATAGCTAGCTATCGAGATAGATAGAAAGACGGATGGATGGCAGGACTGCACCCTGGCGGAGCTCGCCTACTGTGCTTGTCAACCCGATCAACACAGCTTCCTTCCAGGTTCCTCCCGGAGCTTCTTTTCGCTACGGGCGCCGCGGAGTTCAGACACCCCGTCTGTTGGACAATCCATCTCTCTCTCTCTGTCTGTCTGTGCGAGTCCTCCTATGTCCCATCCTCCACTGGAATCCTGAGGAAAGTCAGGGCCCCTTCTGGGTCTTTCTCTCTCTCACTCTCGCCCCTGCTGGTGTGCTGTACTCGATCATCCACTCCCCACCCGCTTCACGGCGCCAGCCAGCCGCATTGTCGCTCTGCCCTGCACCCACTGCACCCCCACAGCCCTATGGTAGGTGCAGCAGCAGCACAGATAGATAGATAATTGTCGGCCCTCCGCTGCGCTACATTACTACAGGGGGGGGGACTTAAAAAACTCTGAAACACACACACTCACTCGCTCACTCACTCACTCATCCCGGTGATTGCTGTGGCCTTCGTCGCCATCGCTCTCTCTGGATCTTTGCGACGGCCTCGCATCGCGTCTTCTTGCACCTCCTCAGTCTTCCCCCAAGTGCCGCACCACTCGCGCACAGTCTCCGGTCTCCGCGAAGCGGTATTGGGACCTTCTGTTGCCCATGGCCACGGATGTGAAGCTCTGCGTTCATTCATCCGTGTTGCTATTGTTGTTGTTGTAATTGTGGTTATAATTGTGCTCCTCCTCATTTTTTTTTTTCCTTTTTTTTTTTTTTTTTTTTTTTTTTTTTATTGTGTGATATTTTGGAATTGTGTTGTGGATTAGATGGTCTTGTGAGCCTCCATGACCACGTTATAGCCCCCTTGATCATGGATTTCATAGACTACAACTTTTGTGTTTCTTGTGGACATTTTGGTGTTGTTTTATTGTAGAGTTTGTGATTTTTTATAACCTATTCTCCTTCTCTTCATTACTTTTTTTAAATGATAAAGTTTCTGTAGTTATGTTTTCTTATTAACGCCTATTATCAAATAATTTTCTGAAATATATATATATATATATATATATATATTGATGCACTGTAATGATATTAAATTATGGATTTTGTAAATTCTCTTGAGTCTATATTTTGTTTTGTACCACAGAAGAGATCCAAGTCCATTCAATTAATAAAAATGTGTTAAGCTCTACTTTGATAAGTATATTTTTAACTAGAAATTAACTTAAAATTATTACAAATAAGAGGTTTCTACTTATCAAAAATGTAAAACTACAAAACACTATTGTAATCAAATTTACTTTAAAAGACGACATTATTCATAATTCATTATTTCAGGATAGTAAAATACTGTGAAATGCCACTTTGATTATTTGATTTCATTTAATTCTAATAGATAGATAGGTAAGTAAATCAAATATCAACAACATACATTTATACAAACATATATTGAGTAATTAACAAACTACTGTTATTAAAATATACTCATGTATAGTAGAACTAACATAGCACTTCAACATAACCATAAATTCATATAATCCTTGAATTTAATTATTTGATTTTGTATTTTGAATGAAAATAATTGAAATCAAATTTATGATGGTTATAATAAGAAATTTCTATGTATGTATATTAATATTAGTTATTTATTTACAGTTATAATTTTAAAATAGATAATTATTATTCTGACTTGAAAATTTGAACTGTGTCAAATATTCACCTGAAACAAATATTTAAATAAAACTAGAAAGTAAAATCATTTCAAAGTAGCAACTTATTTTATGATTTTATTATTCTCCATGTTTTAACATTTTCAAAACAATTAACATGATGTGTTTATTAATTGAGTTTAATAAAGAAATCAACCATTTTTCGTCTTCTATTGGTTTTTTTCTTTTTACATTTTTATTGCTTCCAAGTGCACCCATCTTTAAAGTCCAACAAAAAGGTGATCTACAAGACTTGCTGTCAAATTTTATTATGTGATAATTTCATTCAATACCCATATGCATATACTATGCAATTCTTCAACTTTTGGTTATGTTCCAAATTTCAAGAATAAATTCACAGTACAAGCCCTTTTTTTTTCTTTTTTCTTTTTTTTTTTCCATCTTGAATATGAAAAATAAATCATATTTTGAATGACAAAAATAGGTAGTTGTTGGGTTATTATTTACAAATAAAAACAACATCTTATAACTGTTAAGTATAAATGTCAGTAAGAATTTGGCTAAAGTATTACAATTAGATAAGAAGTACTGAAAGCTATCAAATTTTTATGCTGTAACGTAAAAGACTACTGGGTAATTGGAATTATGAACAATGTTTCAACCTATTTCCACCATATGAAAATTTACAATTAGGTCTATTACATGCATTTCTTCACTCATTCTTTTTGTTCAAGTTTCTAACCTTTCCCACAATTGCCATAGATTTCCTTGGATTAAACCACAGCTAATGTATCAATATTCAAAGCTCCTTCTTCCTCAAGCTATTGTTTCCACATCAGCCCATCGAAGCAACGAAACACCAGAGACAAGAAGCAATTCTTCACAAAACTCAATACTCGTCAACAAGATTACGCACTAACTGTGTGCAATAATTCACCAGCAAGTTGTGAAAAGTGCACCGAAAAAGCAAGCTTCGAAACTTCAAAACCAGTCTCACGAAGGTTGAAGAAGCAACAGATGTTCAGCCTTGACAAAAAGCTCGAGAAGAAAAAACAAGCAACCCATGCATAGGAAGGTGTACTTTTATTATTATTATTATTATTATGAGTATTCCACAATGTCGAAGACGGAGCTGGACCATGGATTTCTTCAGCCCCAGCGTGTTTCATCGAATCGGTCGCTTGGAAGTGCACTCTCAGAATTGGGCACCCCATCAAATCTTGTTTAACTTTAGCATATTATCTGGTTGTTGTGTATTTTGTCAGCTTCAGGGCACTGATCCATGTGCTCCTTGCTCAACTGGAAAGCCCTAATCTGTCTGTGTACATGCGCTACAATGGCTGAAGTATGCCTAGCAGCGATCGCAAGCGTCTCGGCAGGGCGGTTGTATCCATTCCCCCTGGATTCCAGCAATGTACAGAGTGATACAGCGTTTGTTTACAGAGGCTACCGGACATGATGCCATCTATCACCAGCATCCGGTTTTGCTACATTTGGTCAATACAGGTCGTCGCTATCTTTTTCTACAAACGCTATTTAGGTGTTTCGTTGACTGATAGAATGCCTGCGGAGGGCACGAGGAGAATAGCTATTCACATGGATTGGGCTCTTCTCCCTCCAAGAGCAAAACTGGAGGCTGGAAGAAGAACCTTCGGGAGATGGAAATGAATCGGAGAAATGGTATGGGAAAAAAGAGAAATAAAAAAATGCTGTCAGTGTTGTTTTCTGGGCTGAAGGAGATCAAAGATCGGAAAGCGGGTGTGAAGACGCTGTGGCATCGCCCCAGGGTTGATGAACTGGTTCCTCAAGCAGTACTTGCTGCAACTAGATGACCTCAACGTGGACGTTGAAAAACGTCGCAAGTCGGTGAGTGGGTTGTCGTATTCCACTGCCCCGACTTTGCAGCGGAATGCGGAAAGGATGTACAATCTCACGCCCTCCAGCCTTGTTATCTACTTCCCGAAATGAAAGGTTTGGTTTGAATTTGAGTGAATAGCACAAAATCGGGTTTGTGGAAATCTCGCACCACTGTAGAAGCACTCCTTGACATGGCCAGCTCGTAAAATCGGCCGGCAATCAGCATACCGGTGATGATGAAGAATTTTCTTTAACGACGCCGACTCCCAGGAAATCGATGAAGGAGATCGCAGGGGCAGCCTCAGACTGGGAGGTTGTGATCTCTTGACCGTGGTTCGTCATTCCCCATGCAGCAAAAGCCTCAAGGTCTGTCTGCAGACCCAGTTGCTCAGCACGCTTCCGAACCTCAAAGCCTCCTTCTAAGTGGTTTACCAGGTTCTGGACGCCATGTCCATGATGGTCCTGAATCTGCCCATGAAGCTCGGCCCTGAAGCTCGAAGCCCAGAGGTTTCTTGCATGTTCGTCTCTTTGGTTGCCGCGGGCGCTGGGAAATGGACTGACAAGGGAGGGAACCCATTGGGCTGCAGTAGGCCCCTTGCAATTCCGTTCAGGTCGTATCTTAAGCTCCGGAAGAAAACCCGTGCTCTGCGGCACGGCATCTGTTTGCGGCACTCGCTTTTGCCCATACTGCGTTTGTGAGCCAAGCTCAGCAGACTGTGACAACCACCTTGAAGCTGGAGAAGGTCGCGCGAGCGCGGTTGTTGAGCTCGACAACAAAGATGAGCCCTTCTTGCTGGACTCACTGTGAGGTGAAGAGCTCAGGATGCGGGACGGTTCATGATGTGGCAAAATGAAGCCGGGCTGAAACGAGGGGGTAGACGTCGAAGTGTAGGAATTCTTGGTGCTGCGGCTCAAAGACGAGGGGTTCAGGACCTGGCCGTGGTGCGTGGAAAGAGAAACGTCGGAGACTTCCTCGCTGGAAGTGGTGTGTTGCTCTGACGACGAGCTGGGTCGCCTGCCTCGCCGGGGTTCTTGCGCTTTGCGACGGCCGGAGGAGCGCGAGCGCTCCCGAAACTTGCGTGCCATGACCACATGCCAGTGGTTTTTGACAGCGTTGTCCGTGCGGCCGAGGAAAAGACGCGCAATCATGGCCCATTTGTTGCCATGGAAGCTGTGAGCAGCGAGGAGACGCTCCTCTTCATCCTCCGTGAAAGGGCGACGGTTGATCCGTGGGTCAAGCTGATTGAACCAACGCAGCCTGCAGCTTTTTCCTAATAAAACGAGCAAGAAGACTCAAATGTCAACAACACTTACGAGTGCATCATCCCAGCCAGCACAATTTATGACAATTTGGAGAAAGCATTGCGGCAGTCGAGGCTTGCAAGTAAGACGAAGAGTGTCAACCTGATCGGCCATGGAGTTTCTCAGCAATGAGGTTCCAGTTCTGCGGCCCGTACTGGGATACCAGCTCCCTTAACTTCTCGTCTTCCGCTGGGCGCCAATGACCCCGGGGACAAAGCTTGGATTGCACTGCACCGTCCATGGTGTCCATATTGTGGAACTTAAGATCTACGTCCTCGCTGGTAGACTCCTTCATCTCGTCCACGCTTGCTTGATCCATTTCCCCATCACTGAATTGCTTAACGTCCGAGTTGTATCCCGCACGCATCCACCACAACTGTCCCTCCTCTGACGGCAGGCTGCCCAGCGCTTGGAACGGAATAGTGCTCGCCTTGCAGGTTACAGGCGTGACATCGGAGCCAGAATTGGAGGTCCCTTCGCCGTCTGTGACATACGTGGTCGTTTCGGCAGACGTCGACGAAGTGGTCACTCCAGGAGAAGAGTGGCCTGCATGGCTGTGGCTACACGAGCTGGCCATTTGCTGTTGACGAGAACTCAGCTGTCCTGACGTGGTGTAATGAAGCTCATAAGACTGCATTCCCTTCGTCTGCTCCTCCGCGAAGTGCAAGCACATCGTGCTATTGTAATCTCAGATTCTCCAATGCAAATAAACGCTGACAAGTATGCCACTGTTCTCGGCAAGGGAATGGCAGTACAGGACTCACGAGGACACGCCAGTTTCGCCAAAGGTTTAGACACGATCAAGGAAAAGTCTCTCAAGTCCTTCCAACTTCGATCAAGACCCAACGGCACAGCTATCCCCCCCTGCAACAAGCTACAAGGGTTTGATGTTCCAGTCAGATTTTTTTTTTTTTTTACTCCGCGTCGCACTCCAACTGCAAGATATGACGCTTCCAAGTCAAACACCAGCAGCTCCCCACGACATTGTTTTCCAGAAACTGAAGTGTTTACTCACTCGCGTTAAACACACACACACACGCACGCACGCACGCACTCACTCACTCACTCACTCACACCCAACCCCGACCACTTGTCCACTCTCAGTCACCCTCTCTACCTCTCACCCTCAACCTTCGTTATATAATATATATCAATAAAAAAACAATAGTAGTCAAGCTTGCGCGTCAGAGCGTTAGACTCTGCCTACCCCGCCAAACAACCCTCAGTCATCTCCCAAGACCCGGCCATATAAAAACTATGAAGCGAGCGTCCATCTTACGATACCTCGCACCCGCAAGTGGGATGCTCGGTAGCCAACCTTTCGTCACACCCAACTAGAGTTGACCAGCTACATTACTGTTGCAAGCAAGTCAACAAGCAGTGCGCCTCACATGCAGGCAAGCCTTCTCCAGCGAAGGAGAATGATGAGCAAAAGAAGACAGCACTCGAGAAGAGTGTGGGTGGGGATGAGGAGGAAGAAGAATGGCTCCCTTCGCAAATGGGCCTCGATGCCAGGCTTGCTCTTATTAATCCCACTGCCGCGGTACTGTCCGACAAGCAGACACTACAATGTAGGAGAGCAAATGAGGTTTATAGGCTATTACAGGTAAGTTACTTAAGTAGTTAATGAGGTCACTTGGTATTATTAGCCCCGTCTCTGTAACTTGTCATCGCGACCGTATGAATAGCTTTTTTCCATGTTTGTGTCTCTGCCAGGAACCTGCGACTTTCCATTCCTTTGTGGAGATGATCCTGATCCGTTGAACAATATGTCCAGTGATGAACGATCGCACATTCTGGTGGACCCAGGTTCTTAAACAAAAGTCATCTGGACAATTCTCGATCGACGGTAGAGAATCCAGAGCAGAGCTAAATATGCACCACTAACATGCTCTCCATTAGAAAAACATTATTTTCTCTGCAGCCTTCAGCAGGAACTTGAATCTTATTCCATTCCCTTTCGCTTCTTTCTTGAACTGGACACCACAACCACACGGCTATTGCTACCATCAATCACAAAATTCACCTATACATGCATACCCACAAGTATATTTACGTGTAAAAATATATATATATATAAATATATTTATGTATGTATATATACAAATATGCCATTCCTTTCCCTGCTGCGGCGATTCTGTTATTTGCTCATCACATGAAAAAAGAGGTTAAAAAAACACACCAGCACGATTTCATTCCATCCCCGATGCCAACATTCTAACCCCGCAAAGGCAGGGAAACCAGACCGACGCAGCGTCTCTCCACAGCGGATGAGCCGTTCGCGCAGGCCGATCGGTCGCCGGGTGCGGACTGCCGGATGCTTATCTTAGCAAACAAAATCCAATCTGTGTTGCCAGCATCAAGCGATGAGCTCAAACCTTTCCTCCCCCTTTCTCTCTCTCCGAATCTTCCAGTGGCAGGCACACAGTATATTCCTCGTGTGTCTCCCTGCTCATGCACTCTCTAGATTCTCGCTCACTCCTCTCGCCGATACAGTTCCGCCTATTTGTTGCTGTTGCTGTTGTTTGCTGCTGCTGCTTCACAAGGCCCTCGCACGCCCACTGTTGCAGTAGCAGCACCTTCAGGCTTTTCACCCCACCCACCATTTTGCCTGCTTACATTAGCAAGCCCCCTTCCTTCCTGGCCGTCAATTCTTCTGCACCAGTTACCACCCTCTCCCCCTGCTTCTAGCTTTTGCCGTCCCCTGCAGCCTGTTGCGCATCTTTCTTCAATGCCGCTGCTGCTGCTGCTGCTATTATTACCACGCTCGATTCCTTTGCATATTGTGGTCTGTGTGTGATTGCTCACTCATCCTCTCTTACCTTCACTTCCACTGTTCTCTCCCACAGTTTGCCCTTCCTTCCTTCCGCTTCTATTTGTATTTCTATACTATTTTTTGATTTTTCTGTGTATTTGGTGGGCATTTATTGCCGGTCAGGTGATTAGTGTCCCCCGAGTTAGTGTCCATGGCATGCATTACTTGGCATTCTGACTATATATGTTTATTTAATTGGGGGTTTGGTATTTGGGGGTGCTGTTTGGAGCTTTAAATCTTGGCCATCCTCGTAAACTGTTGCCATGCTTCCAAAATATAATAGTTTGTGAGTAGTGTTTTGTACATCAACTAACAGTTTTGTATAAAAATAAGATGAGATTTTGTAATGTGTAGAATAGATCTATTGAACAATAGAAGATTGGGTACTACCAAACAAAACATAAGATGTGTCATTGACTTTATTATACAGTTTGGTCGTATATGTATATATGGGAAGAATAAGTGAGATAAAGACTAGATTGTATGTAAGTTCCGAGACTTCTGTTATGCTATACTTGAACCTACATCAACTTCATTAGACATACAATGATGCTAATATTAATGATAATATTTTAAATTACAATAGATATAGTCATAAAACTTATAGAAATGAGAGGTTAATAAATTTGCACCAATTCTTTGTAGTACTATATTTTATAATGACATCTACAATATCTACAAATTGTTTACTATCTTCCACCATCCACCACATAAAATGCAGTACTTCTATAATCTATGGTTAATACTTTACAAAGTTACCATCTTTAATATTTTTAAATTTTCATTTATAAATAATCTTAAATATTTAATATATTAGTGAGTTATAAATTTATATTATATAATTGAAATAAAAAACATTCTTTATTCTTAATTTTATATTTTTGATGACATATATATATATATATATATATATATATATAGATGTAAAGTTTTTAGATGTAATTGTATCAATATTATACAAAATGCAACAGTTTTAGACAAGAAATTATTCTACATTGCTATGAATGTTTTTGATCATTGTAGATTTCGTATTTGTGTAGAATTCTTATGGCCAATTTCCCAAGAATATTGGGAAATCATTGAAAATTTTACAGAACTCCTTTCAGATACAACATTAATAAAACAAAACAAAACACTCTACACCTTTCTCTTTACCAATTTCTCTTTAACATGGTATTGTTATAGAAGAATTACAGGGTATTAAAGTAAATATGCATAAAACGAATTATGAATTACCTGACTTTATTTGAATTGTTATGAAAATTACCTTATTATTACTGGACCATTTCAAATATTAATTTCATTAACAAGCAATGATGTTGTGATAGATTGACAGAAACAATACTTGAAAAAATACCTGAAAAAATACTTTTTTTTTGGAATATAAAATGTAATTTAGATTATTATGGTTGTATGGACTTTTGTCAAAGCTTCAAAGTACATGATATCCAATAAGATTTAATAAAAGTTGTGAAAATTTTACAGGTACAAAATCTACTTAAAGTACCAGATGGCTTACAATGTACACCATTAAGAGAAAATGAAATCATAAACTCATTCAATAGTGTTTGCATTATATGTACATTTATTGGATATATATATATATATATATATTCAACAGTATGATGTGCAAAAGGAGGCTTTTGAAATTCATCCAAGAATGAAAACCATTCATATCTAACAACAATATATTGTAATGTAAGACTGGAAAGTAATTTTTATTTTTATTATTGGATAAATAATTATTTTTCTATACATATTTTATTGTGTACATATATCACAGAAGTGGTCGAGTGATGTGGAGATGATTTACACTTGTAATTTTTAAAATTTTAAAAGTGGAGCATGTGATGAATTCAAATGATAATCGTATTATTATTATTATTATTATTATTATTATGACTCTTTATAAATTCAAAAATGGACTTGAAAAATGTGTTTTACATCACAATCTACAAACAAAATTTTCTAAGTTATCTATTTATTTAAGCACACAAACACATGTAAAAACACAGAAATACTATCAACAGATCACACTTTTAAAATATTACAATTTCTCTATTAGTGTCTCTTTGTTAGAATATTCCTCAAGTCATGTAAAAAATATCAAAACGTATATAAAAGTGTGTGAATGTTTTGAAAAAAACATTAAATGAACAGAAATGGATTCAATACCAATAGAGTGAAAATATGTCAACACAGCATTCTTTTAAAAATAATTACCATTAAATTCTGCTGCTACATTGAATTATCCTATTTTAGAATCATCAAAAGCATGGAGATTGTTGAGTGATTGTATAAAAAATCATATGCATGTTATGCACTTCAATCTTGTCTTTGTGTTAATAACTATCCTGATATCTCACTCTATCTTGATATATCCCAAATATTTGCTTGTTCATAAGTATCACATAATAAATCAAAACCAAACACAATAAGATTCTATATTTACTTATTGCTTGTTCATTCTCTTTGAAATATTTATTTTTACAACACCAATTTCATTTTCATTCTATTTCATATACACACACAAGTATTTTATGATCAGATCACATTATTTGAACTTTAATTTCTCAACGTTCATGCAGCTAATCACCCTAAATCTTAGTTCAATACTCACAACAATGACAATCCCAAGTTACGATGCTCATTTTCAACTGTTTGCATCAGTCTAAAATCCTTACTTTAAAACAAACCAAATAATCTTCCAAGTTAATTTTTTTAAAACAACTTTTTTTTTTTTTTTTTTTTTTTTTTTTAAGCATGCATGCATTACAGCCGAATTAGTGACCAACATTTCGAAACATGTATATATATATATATTTATATTTTACGAAATGAGCATGGATCCACCTTAATCCATGCGAATCAAGGGGGGGCTTCAAAGGCTACACCATCAATGACAAAGGCCAAGTCAAGCCAAGCTTACAACAACAATAATAATAATAATATTATTATTATTACCCATCTCCCACAATGGAATTCTTTTCATTAAAACCAAATATATATATATACACACACATACATATATTATAGCCATGACGTGAGCATCTTCACCGACTTTATTACCGTATGGAAGGAATCCCCCTTTATATCCAGTAATAGCAACGCGGTCCACTTTTCATCCACGAACCATCCGTTTATCACATCATTTTTGGATGTAAAACGTTCATTCGATCCCGGTCCGTGATATTCCAAGAAGATTGTGTGCCCGAATTAGAAGATTCGGGCAGTCCCATAGACGGAAACGTCTCTGGGTCCCAGCTTAGGTTCTATCCGGACTGGGGAACCACGTTCCCCGTGTGGGGAAATAGATTCCCCTCCACGTCACTGCCACATATACCAATTGAGGCCCCGCGGCTTCAGGGTCCCCTTCTGCCACGGCGGAATTGTGGGGAGGGGAGTGAATCCCTGTCAGGATGGGATCCCGTAGACCGCGCACTTGGCCCGCCCTCCATTTGGCTCTCTCGTGGCTTTCTATTTAACTCCCCCTTTCCTAGATTTGGTGAAGCTGATTTAATATAGTCTTCCTTTGCACATTTGCACATGTGTCCCCCTAACTTTTGCCTTTGTCAACTTCGATGTGGTTTTGGGAGAAAGTCAATGTTTTATGGTTTACTTCATATTTGAACGATTTGTTTGTGGAAAGATATATATATATTTTTTTTGGGGAGATTCACATTAAAATTAGAAACATTGGAAACATATTAAAACTTCAAATTTTGTAGATGCTTATATTAT